TTAGTAAATAACTCTGTTAATGTCCATGGCTCTAGGCTGGTGCCCAAATCTGACTGATAAACTGTCATAACAGAGAAGTAGATTGGGCCACGGCTTTAGTCCTTTGAACAAGTAGATTTAAAAAACATTCCACACTACTGTGTAACATACTTCGATATCTGCACTGATGCGATTTTATAACCTGCAAAAAATACACCATTACATGCGTTCAATGACATTCCACCAGCAACTGATCTTAGCATAACTAATACTAAACCCATGTACACACAACAGACACTACAAACAGTATCTTTATCTACACATTCTTTGGAAAAAATAACAATTGCAAAGCAAATATGCCAGTCACGTTTATATGACTTTGGTAACAGTAAAGTGACACTTGCTCCTTTAAAAGAAATAATAAAAAACAGTCTATATCAGGAATGCCCAAAAGGTAGATCCCCAGATGTTGTATTACTACAACACCCATGATGCATGCCTTCACAAAGCATCATGGAAGCTGTAGTTTTAAGACATCGGGGGATCGACCTGTTGAGCATCCCTGGTCTATATCATATGCAGCACATATAAGTTTATATTGGCTTCTAGTGATGTACGAACCGTTAAACAAAGTAACGATATAAGCATAGAGTAACCATATTGGCTACCACCCTCGAATTGTATGGTAGAGCCGGTAAATCATTAGATTTCAGAATGGTTGAAGACGCTACAGATTTACGCTATGTAGCATATTTGTTCTATACCTGTCGCAGAATTACACCAACAGTTGTGTACAGTACAGGCTGAAGAATTTACAAAATTGTCTGTGTCTGTATTATTATTATTACCGTCTGTGTCTGTTTTATTATTACTGTCTGTCTGTATTATTATTATTACTGTCTGTGTCTGTATTATTTACTGTCTGTGTCTGTATTATTATTATAATTACTGTCTGTGTCTGTATTATTATTACTGTCTGTGTCTGTATTATAATTACTGTCTGTCTGTGTCTGTATTATTATTATTACTGTCTGTGTCTGTATTATTATTACTGTCTGTGTCTGTATTATTATTACTGTCTGTCTGCATTATTATTATTACTGTCTGTTTTATTATTACTGTCTGTGTCTGTATTATTATTATAATTACTGTCTGTGTCTGTATTATTATTACTGTGTCTGTATTATTATTATAATTACTGTCTGTGTCTGAATTATTAATGTCTGTGTCTGTATTATTATTATAATTACTGTCTGTGTCTGTATTATTATTACTGTCTGTGTCTGTATTATTATTATTACTGTGTCTGTATTATTATTACTGTCTGTGTCTGTATTATTATTATTACTGTGTCTGTATTATTATTATAATTACTGTCTGTGTCTGTATTATTATTATTATTACTGTCTGTATTATTATTACTGTGTCTGTATTATTATAATTACTGTCTGTGTCTGTATTATTATTACTGTCTGTATTATTATTATTATTACTGTCTGTGTCTGTATTATTATTACTGTCTGTGTCTGTATTATTATTACTGTCTGTATTATTATTACTGTCTGTGTCTGTATTATTATTACAGTCTGTCTGTGTCTGTATTATTATTATTACTGTCTGTGTCTGTATTATTATTATTACTGTGTCTGTATTATTATAATTACTGTCTGTCTGTATTATTATTACTGTCTGTCTATTATTATTACTGTCTGTGTCTGTATTGTTATTACTGTCTGTCTGTGTCTGTATTATTATTACTGTCTGTGTCTGTATTATTATTACAGTCTGTCTGTGTCTGTATTGTTATTACTGTCTGTCTGTGTCTGTATTGTTATTACTGTATGTCTGTGTCTGTATTATTATTACTGTCTGTGTCTGTATTATTGTTACAGTCTGTCTGTGTCTGTATTATTATTACTGTCTGTGTCTGTAATATTATTACTGTCTGTATTATTATTATTATTACTGTCTGTGTCTGTATTATTATTACTGTCTGTGTCTGTATTATTATTACTGTCTGTGTCTGTATTATTATTATTACTGTCTGTGTCTGTATTATTATTGTCTGTCTGTGTCTGTATTATTATTACTGTCTGTGTCTGTATTATTATTCTTGTCTGTGTCTGTATTATTATTACAGTCTGTCTGTGTCTGTATTATTATTATTATTACTGTCTGTGTCTGTATTGTTATTACTGTCTGTGTCTGTATTATTATTACTGTCTGTGTCTGTATTATTATTACTGTCTGTGTCTGTATTGTTATTACTGTCTGTGTCTGTATTATTATTATTATTACTGTCTGTGTCTGTATTATTATTATTACTGTCTGTGTCTGTATTATTATTACTGTCTGTGTCTGTATTGTTATTACTGTCTGTCTGTGTCTGTATTATTATTACTGTCTGTGTCTGTATTGTTATTACTGTCTGTCTGTGTCTGTATTATTATTACTGTCTGTGTCTGTATTATTATTATTACTGTCTGTGTCTGTATTGTTATTACTGTCTGTGTCTGTATTATTATTACTGTCTGTGTCTGTATTGTTATTACTGTCTGTCAGTGTCTGTATTATTATTACTGT